CCTCGCAGTATGAGATGGCCAGGCTGGAAAAAATGGTTTTAACATTGACAATTTAAAACAAGTCAAAGTGAGGATAAATGACACACATTCCACCAGTCTGTTACAAACTGAAAATGTTTTTCAATAAAATGTTTTTCCTATGGACGCGCTGTCTGCCTGTGTTGCTTTGTTGCCTTCAAACTGCATGAATGAATAATTTCCATATTTTATTGTCTCACACAGCTTGACAGTACAGGAGTTGATGTGACAGTTTCATCTACTTATTTATCTGGGAGCAGAATCACTCCTGAGGATATATTTCACACAGTCCACCGCTTTATGTCAGACTGTCATTCACATGATGTTTTCAGAGAACATTTGAAATCACATCGGCACATTGTAGCTTTTACTATTATAAGAATTGAAATGCAAAAACATGCACAATCATTTTCTGTTCATTAAAATACACTATGTGGTCAAAGACATATAGGACAACTTTAGTTTAGTATTTACTTTCACTCCGTGCAGCGCAGCGGTCAAAAAACCGTGTGGCTTCAAACCAAAAGACACCAAAAAATCATCCTAAGGACTTTATTACCAGATGATACAATCATAGCCTCAATCAGCTGATTGTCACAAGGGTGTGGTATTTAAACTTCAAGAGTTGAAAACAATGAATTAATAGTGTTTACTATCTTATATATTCAGTTTCCATTTCCAATATTATATCATTTTTACACATACTTAAACAGTCAAATAATACATTCATAATTGTGGCTCCTATAGCGACAGTGCTGACAGTGGCTCAGTCCATAGCCAGGACTTGGCCTGGTAACCTGAAGGTTGTCAGTTCAAGTCTCGGAATGACCGAGTACTGTGGAGGTGCCCATGAGCAACACTAGTTCCAAGGCGCTGCTCCTAATGTTATGATGGGTCGATTGCAGGACAGAGGGACAGAAATATCAGTAATAACAATCCCTATAGTAGTCTGTAAGGACATGGCTTGGGAACCAAAGGGTCGCCAGTTCAAGGCCCGATCGGAACAAAATACAGATTGTGGACTGGTAATCGGAGAGGTGCAGTTCACTCCTCACTACTGAGGTGTCCTTGAGCAAAGCACTGAACCCAGCTGCTCCCGGAACCGTAACACTGTCTTCTGCTTCTTAGCTCTGACACCCTTGGTACATGTCTATAGGTCCTTTTTTTGTATGTGTGGATTTTGTATGTGTGGATTTTGGGCCTATGTATGTGAGTGAAGACCTGGATTTCCCCTCAGCGATTAGTAAAGGGATCTTATTCTAAGAATAAGGGATCTTATTCTTAGAATAAGATCTAATCGCTGAGGGGAAATTCAGGTCTTCTTAATGTGGACAGTATTATCATGTTACACAACCACGATCTCCAATGTGCTGCTCTAACAGCCTCCACTCTTCTGGGTTCAGTCTGCCCGCCACATGCTGCAAGGATTTTCTCCCTTTCAGCATCGAGAGCGATAGTGAGGGGCGACATGGATGCTGGTGATACGGTCTGACTCACAGTTAGAGTTCTAGTTCATCCTATAGGTGTTGGATGGTTGAGGTCAGATAAATACTTCCATATGAAGCTGGGAAGCATCTTTTTATGGTGCTGCCTTTGACCTAAGGGGCAATGTCATATTGAGTCACACAAGGACCTTCCGCAGCAACAGTCCGCAGCACTAAAAAAGCAAACTATTGTCAAAACTCTCTCATGCTGTAGCATTAATGGGACACTGCAGTAATATAGTATGAACGTTCTTAAAAGTTGAGGAATTGAGTGAGACAGGTTTGAAAAATAATGGGACAAGCACGGTGGAGATTACTTATATTTCTAAAATGCCCTCAAGCCTCCTAATCATTGTATCCGACACTTCCCATTTTAATTTCATGTCCAAATGTTTTTGGTAAATACCCAAATCCTTAATACTCAATGTCTCATCCTGAAATGGTTTTGCTACCTCGCTTCAAAGTGAAATTAGTTTTGGAATCTTTATACATTTTAAATAATTGATAGGAGATTTAAGAGATTGTGTCTATTCCATTTCTGTCATGTGTTGAATGTAGGTGAAGATGAGCATTGCCCTCTAGGAAGAATGGAAGAGATAACTATTTGTCATTGATGAAACAACGCAAAACAGCAGCACTAATCACACTCCAAGAGGCGCTGGTGTGGGGAGCCATGAGAGCCTCAAAGTTAAAAATGAACCAAATCCCCGGGTTGAGTCCACCTAGGGGCCTTTGTTATTGACTTGCTTTCAAGTGTGATAGAAAAGACAAAGCCTCGACAATGTAAGGTTTTCAGATTTGTGAATGTGCAGAGCAAGAGTTTCTAGCACAGTCTTTCCATGAAAATGTCTGCAAAATAACCCACCACCATAACATATGTATTACAATCAATACTCTTTAAGCTTCTTAATTGACACTAAGGTGTCTTGCCTCAGACAAAAGGAAGTGTCCTCACAGCTCCGACCATGCATTGTACAACACAAGGCTTAACGCAGTCTTACGACAGTAATGGACTCATTACTCTTTGTTGATGTAATATGGAGGCAGTGATTAAGGGATCCTGTTCCCTATCATTGGGATGATGGTTGCTCTCTGAGACAGAACCAGCACAGCCAAGTTGTCACTAAGCTGGCATGTGAGTAATCAGCCAATATATCCAGGCAACCAGCCTGTATAACCAGCCCTGCTGCCAGTGAGAGAGAGGATACAGCCAGGCAGACACTGCAGGCTTCCCTTCTACTATAGCTAGCTAGTGCCAGTTAGCCACCAAATCAGCTCTTGCAGCCCATCAGCTCACCACCAGAACTCTCTGTACAGCCATACAGTCTGCACGCCAGGAAATAGAGCAACAGGCAAGATTATAGTAGTGACGGCCAAGCATCCAGCCAGCCAGCGGTCCTGACCAAATCTAGATCAGGGCTTTATTATAGCATCAACACTAGCTCATTGGGTCTGTTTTTGCTTTCGGAGAAACATTGAACCACTTAACTTGAGATGGAAACCTTGCTAATGGTTGTACCAGAAGAGGTTCATCAAACGTACTGGCTAACATATTCGCTGTTTTTTGGCCAGACCACTCCACTGCTAATGTGGCTGTAACCATTCATTTGGGACATCTGATTGCCACAAAGCTTATATATTTTTAATCCAATGCTCTCAAGAGAACCCGTGCAATACTATTTTTCAAGGTTTGGCCTTCGAAGATCTTGTTTGTTTCACTCCAACAATATTTTACGTATTGCTTCTACTAAGTTTTCAGTGTATGTGCTAAGCTAAGCCAAATGGTGGCTAGCTGTATCTTCATATTGACTTTTGTTTTATATAGTATATGGTTGGTTAGTTTTCGGACTTCTCATCTAATTCTCTGCAAGAAATCAAATGTGCATTTCCCAAAGTGTTAAACTCCGGGGTAAGCTTTTCTGTGGTTTACTCTACACCTGCCTCCCATTTTGGTTTACTGCATTGCAGGTCTTCTTGTTATTTCAGCAACCTCACTGACATTTAAGCACCTCCAAAACTGAAAAAAGCAACCTTGTTAGTCCTGAGAAAAAGCATTATGGCTGAAACCTGCAGTTAAAAATGCCTAATGGAGCACGGTTCTCAGAGTAGAAAAGCACCCACCATCTTTTTTCTTCTTTTTCATCATTATCCAATTCCCCGCTCTATTCTTTGCCACATCACACGTATTAGAGATATTAAAGCCACTGGCTATATATTCTTAATTTCTAACCACATTGTCTTCACAGCCCTGTGTTTATGAGGCTGCAGCTGAAAATGAAAATGTCTTCATGGCACTGCATCTCAGCTCTTTCTGCTCCTGTTTATCAGGGAAAAAAGCCGCCTGCGAAGCCAAGATGAAAAAAAAGCAGGAAACAAAAAGAGAAAACAAATTGTGAGGCTCCCATCTCTCGCTCTCTCATGGTGGTCTGTCATCTCCTCGCATCTCACTCACACACTTTGATGAGGAATAGGAAAAAGCAGGGAGGGCGGGGGGGAAACTTTCAGATGTTTTTCCTATTTAACGTTTCCGTTTTATCTCCCTCGCTTTCATGCCTTGGACGGGCGGAGAGCTGTTGAGAGGCGACGAGGCGTTGCGGGTGCTTAATGGGTTTTTTCGTTTTTTGAGGAAGCTGAAGGGTTTATCACCGGGGAGTAGTAAGGATTTTAGGCCCTTAACCTCTCTCCACATGTCTGTAATTTAACATTGTTCAGAACCAGAGGGCCGGTGTTTTAAATGTCCGGGAGCTTCCTGTGTTAACCATGATTCTTTTGGGGAGGAAAACAGGTGCTGGGACTTGAGTTGGTGGCAATGTGTGTAGAGGTGCTTGGAACGTACACCTGTGTTGGCATTTAAATCAGTCATGTTGATCAATGAAAATAAAATGCC